GGCTCCAGTCCGCTCCATGTCTCCCACCCGACTTGCCCTACCATCGGCGGTCAGGCTTTCAGCCTCTCTTCGGAACGCCATCCCACAATCCATTCGCCTTGCTCCCTCCCTTGCCTCCTTCAAGGCACGACTCAAGACCCTCCTTTTCGACCGTGCCTTTAGCCGCCCTGCCCTCTCTTATCCCAACCCAGCCCCCCCACACATCCCGTCCTGATCCCCGACTGTTCAGTGCCTTGGGACATCCTGCCGACCTGAAAGATGCTTTACAAATGTACTTTTGTTGCTGTTTATACTGCTGATCAAACTTCATGTCATTTGGTTAAATCTATGGCAACCAAACAGGATCGTGAAGTATAAGTGAACAGCAGCAGCATGAAGGATGAAATTAACATCCAGATGTGATCAATACAATACATAATTTATGCCACAAATTAATTACCTTCACTTTCAGCAGTGGAGCAGAGGCTGGTTTACAGCAAGTTTAGCAATGCTAGAGAGTAATACAGTACTTAACTTTCCAACGTGAAAGGTGGTATATAATTTTGCTGCTGTTGTTCACTGGGTATGCTCACTTATCACGTAACGCCAATGTCATCATATGGTGAAGTGATCTGTCAGGTTTTCCTAATTGGCCATCACCAAAATAACAGCAGAGGTTCTCACTATTCTTTCCAGATTTTGCTGTGCCTCAAAACAAACATCTTTATGGATAAGATGGCATATATAATTCAATGACCTGACTGAAACACAGAATGAACCTGTGGCTGTTCAGCTACAATAGTTCACAAAGCCATGAGTTTTCGGTGGTAATTCTGCTTCAGTTGTCAATGCATCAAAACAACCCATTGAGATGTGTATCAATTCCAAAACTCAGGCACTAGTTTTAATTATTATTGAATGATCAATTCTTTAATGTTTAAAAATGGTCATTTTCAAGTTTTGGGTCATTTCTTGGATATATAAAATAACTGAAGGCCCATTGGGAAGCGAAATTGTTATCAATTTGGCAGCTGAGACTGCTCAACTCAAGATGATCTTGTCAGTACGCACCTAATAGTACTGCAATTTTTGTGTTGAAAATGATCAAAACATTTCAGAAATGCATAACATAACAACGCAATTCAAACTGACCGTTTGACTAGATCGGAGGCCTACATCTCATCCACAAGACAACTGTTACAGCTGTTTCCTAGATTTTTTTAAAAAACTGCTTAAGAAAATTTATAAATTCAGAAGCAGAATACGAAAATAAAGCGCAACCAGCAGGCATGATCAAAAATTATGCAAGAACATTGAAAAAACTGAGAATTTAGCCCAGAGTATGTACAACCTGGTAACATATTCACCGTCATACCACAATGTTCAGAGCACTCACCATGAGTAGAAGGCATGAAATCAAAAGGCGAAGAGGGTGGACTTTCACTGGGACTAACACAATGAAGCACAAGTTTCAAACGGACTGCTAAATAACACTACAGTTTGCAAAAGTCCCATGTAAGCCAAAACCATGTTGCTATTGCAAAATACAAAAGCTTACATCACAGTTATGTTAAAATGTGAATTGTGCAAGTATTTTTTTACTTCAGTATAAGGAACTAAGAACAGCTGAAATCAGTTCACCACTCATCATGATGATGAACTGAATTGTTGCTGTTTCGACTGGAAAATTTAAAGGAACAAAACCAACATTTTTCACTCAAAAGCCTAACGGCCAGATATGTCACCAGGCTCTAAATCGAAAATTCAAAACCCAAATCTCATAACCTTTCAATTTAGATCTATTTGATTTGGATTTACTGCAAAAAGCCAAATTTTATTCCATTTGTAGAAGATAAAACATGAACAAAAGTACACAGATTTGGTTGAATTCAGTAAATAGAGTGCACCATTTCTCTTTCAATTTTACAAATTTTCCATTATGCATTGCAGAAATAGACAGCAGGAAGTTATTTCAAGGTTAACCAATTAAAAGATCAGATAAAATGCATAACTTTCAGGTGTGACATTTACCACAAAACACAACCGCCCAACTTGACAGTTTATTCTGTGAAGTGCTTTGAGACAGTCTCTTGACATGAAATGCACTATACAATACAAAATTACATTTGTATAGTGGCTTTCATGTTGAGGATGTCCCAAGGGCGCTGGACAATCAGTGTTTCAGACCCGAGCTGGGGGTCAGGATCGGGGAGGGTGAAGAGCAGGGATGGGAAGGAGGATGACCGAAGGAACGGTCGAAGAGGAGGATCTTGAGATGGGTTTTGAAGGAGGCGAGGGAGGAGGTGAGACGGAGGGACTGCAGGATGGAATTCCAGAGGGTGAGGGCAGAATGGCAGAAGGCCCGTCCGCCAACGGGGCCAGGCGGGGGACGTGAAGCAGGCCCGAGCCTGCTGAACGGAGGGAGCAGGCAGGTTGGTAGGAGGTTAGAAGGTCGCAGAAGTAGGGGGCACAAGGCCGTGGAGGGCTTTAAAGACGAGGACCAGGATCTTGAACTGTATCTTCTGAGTGATGGGAGCGGATGGGGTGATAGGGTTGCGGAGCCTGATCCGGGAGAGGACACAGGCTGCAGAGTTCTGCAATCTTGAAGTGCCATCCAAACGTAAACAGATGTAACCAGGGAAATTATTAAATTCAAGCTGCTGCTGATATTAGCAATCAGTGGGACCTTTTAAATGCCACCACTGTTACATCAAATTCCCTCACCTGCAACGCAATACCTCTGATAATAATAACCCTTGCATTTGCTACAGCGCCTTAACACATCGTTGAGACGTCTCAAAGCACTTCACAGAATATATTATAAAGTGGATTGACTGTATTTTGTGGGTGAAACACGGCAGCCATCGTGCCACGGGATCTTTAACATCCACATGAACAGGTAGATGGGACATCAGTTTAACATCTCATCCAAAGGACAGCACCTCTGACGCTGCAATACACCCCACTGCATTAGAGTGTCAGCTTAGACTATCTGAATCCAAGTCCTGATGTAGGGTTTGAACCCACAACCTTGAGGTGAGTGCTACCAATAATAATAATCCTTGCATTTGATATAGTGCTTTATCATGTAGTTGAAGAGTCTCAAAGTGCTGATATTGGTGTGGCAGCCAGTTGCGCACACCAATATCCCACAAATAGCCATGGAGTGAGGCGAGTGTTACCACTGCATCAGACGGACACATTGCGCCAGGATAATGAATAGAAATCGTGTGGGAAAGCAAACTGAATGGACAGGGCAATGCGTGCAAATAAAAGCTTGTATTTATATAGCATCTTTTGAATATTAGTAAGGCTTTAAAAATAAAAATGGAAGTGTGTTATATAGGCAACACTGCTACGAGCATAAAATCTTCACTTACGGTAATATTCCACCCAATAGTTTGGTGATTACAGCAAACATGATGCAATAAATTAGATGATTTTGTGAAATTTTCACAATTTCCTCACCGCAGATGTAACCCACAGAACATCATATTACATTTATATAGTGCCAATCACGTCAGGGGGCATCTCAAAGCGCTTGCTTTACTTCTGAAACGGCTTCACAATTGCTGCCTTTGAACCACAAAAATGCACCATTCAGGGTCGACAGTACTTCACAAAACCCATTGCGGGCAGGTATTCTATTTTTGACCCGTCAGTTCCAAGGGGAAGAAAAAGAAGCGTTTATAGCACACTATAATCGAAAACATCCCCACTACGTCTCATGTTCATATACAAAACATTTTTTTTGGGGGGGCGGGGGGGAAACCTCTGGGCCGAGGCGGGATTGTCACGAGTTTTTAAAACCAGCGGAAGGGAAGAGGCCAAAGCGTATGGACAAATGCGGAGTCAGAGCAAACACCAACAACGGGTTACACTTGCGGAGCGCCCTTCACGTTGGAAAGACGCCCCAGAGCGCTGGATGGACAGTCCTGGATTTTTGGACCCCAAGCTGGGAGTCGGGGGTCGGGAGGGGGTCGATGGAGGGCAGGAGGAGGGGTGGGGGGGAGTGGGGGTGGGGGGGGAAAGGAAGGTGGCTGAAGGCAGAAGGGTCAAAGAGGAAGGTCTTTAGACAGGGGAGAGAAAGGAGAGACAGACACACACACACACACACAGACAGACACAGACACAGCTTCGAAATATAAAATGTTTGGAGAATTTTGGGGGAGAGAGAGAAAGATAATTTTCCCCTCAAAAAAAGAGGAACGAGTGAAATAAAGCGCGAGAGGGTTATATAAATAAATATATCGATATATATACACACACACACAGTAAAATATTATATATATATATATATATATATATATAAACCCAGACACCAGGGCCCTCTCCCGCCGCCTTGAGGGAAAGCGCCGCCGCCTCGACCCCGACCCCGACCCAAAACAAAAGCACGGGGGTGCGAAGTCAAGTTATTTCGAATAAAATATATAGAGATAGAGATATATTACACCAATTTTTTTTTAAAAAAAACAAATCTCCCGCACGTGGCGGCCACGGCTTTCGCTCCTCATTAAAAAAAACCCGTAAACGCTGCCCTCTTTTTTTTCTCTCTGAAAAAATAAAAAGAGATTCGATAGATATAGCCACGTGAGGACGGGCACAAGGGGTGGGAGGTGGTGGAGGTGGTGGAGGAGGGGGGGGGATGAGGAGGGGGGTCTCCGGCCGCTCTCTGGGTCCCATCTTATTAACCTCCTTCTCTCTCTCTCTCTCTCTCGGTGACTGACTGACTGACTCTCTCCCACCCACTGCCTCCACATTGATTTAACACCGGCAAACGTGTTTTCCCCCTCTCTCTCTCTCTCTCTCCCTTCCTCTCTTAACCGTTTTTTTTTAAAAAGCTGACGCGGGTTGTTGTTGTTATTATTATTATTATTAAAGCAATTAACGTGAGATTCAGACAGAGACACACACAGAGAGAGAGCGAGAGAGAGAGACACAGACACGCCGGCCTGGCTGCTCGCCTGGTGGGCGGCGGTCTGCTCTGCTCTGGGCTGTGCTAAAAACGGCTCTTTAAATACCTGGCTCGAGTGCCGTGTGCATCCTCTCCGCTCGCTACCAACGCTCGCCCCGCGCGCGTGGACACGCACACGCGCACTCACTCCACTCACAGCGACATCCCGCCTCGCCCCTCCCCCCCCCACACAACCAACACACACACACACACACACAATGTGCTCGGAGCGGGCGGGCTCACGCCCAATTGGACGAGTTTTTTTTTCGGGCGGGAGGGTTAGACGGGTTGACGTTATGCCCCGTCGCCCCCGACGCTCACGCACAGCCATGGGGAGGGGAGGAGGGGGAGGGGCTTTCTTTCTCCCGCTTGTTGTGCGTGTACCGTGCGTCAAGAAGACGAGCCCAGCTCTGGGCGGGTGCCCCTATTGTTCTTAATGTGAATTGATTGTAATTATTCAATTGAAACCCGCAAATCGTGTTTTTTTTTCCCCCTTTCCCCCCTCTCTCGCTCTCCTCACGTTGCTGTCGATATCGGATGTAACAGTGACGCAGGGCCGCCGCGTGATGTTTGGGCTACTTTTGGGGCTCGTGTTCGAAGGGCTTTGGGCTACCGACGGATTTTGTTTCTGCGCCCAACGCGCACCGCCGCGCTGCACGCATGCGCGCACTGCACGCAGATACACGCAGATACATAAACCCGATTAACCGCCCGTCTGTCTGCCCTTTACTCTTTCCAACCGCGACTCATTGCACCCGGTGCAAAAAAGGGACAAAGAAGAAAAAAAATCCGAATTTTTTTTTTCGGTGGAGGGTACACGTGGGAGGAAGGAAAGCCAACGGCCGATGTGGGTCCGTCAGTTACTGTTTCGGTATCTTTCAGGACCTGGAGAGAGCGCGACCCCCCCCCCCCCCCCCCGATCACGTGATCCCCTCCCTTCAGATCACGTGCCCCCATCCCTTCCGGTCACGTGCTCCCCTCCCGCCTCTCTGGACGGTCCATTGGTTTGGCAGTGTTTTCTGAGAAGCGCTTTGAGGCGTCTGGAAGACGTGACCCGGCGCCATGTCAAATGCAGGGATTATCACCGTCGTTATTGTTGTTATTATTATTATTATTTAGGGAGCTACAGTGCAAAAGGAAGGCACAGGTGTCATTCCAGCCCCCGCCTGTTTGTGGGGTGTCGCTGCGCGCGTGGCTGTCCGCCGGGCCCCGCCCGCAAAGAACGCGGTCGCTGCGCCAGGCGGCGCGTCCTGTGAAGCGCTTTGGGACGTCTGGGAGGCGCGATGGGGCAAATCACCTCAATCCCAAGGATTGTTATTTGCAGAGGTGTTTGGGAGCAAAGTAGGAGAGGTACGTGGGCAGATGGCGGTGTCGCTTGGGGGATGTAGAGGCAAATAGGGAATCATTGGGGCGCTGGAGGTAGAGGGGCAAGTAGGGAATGTACGGGGTGGGTGAGGGATAACGGGGGGGGGGGAGCGGAGAGTTTATGGGTTGCGGGAGGTATAGGGGCAGACAGGGAAGAGATAGGAACAGTGGAGACCGTACAGTAATTGTACTGTTACGGAGACTTTCATTAACCGTGAAGTGCTGCACAAAATATTCTTGATTAGAAATGAAAGTGGAGAAGAAATGGGAGAACTATAGAGGGAAGGGAGGTGCAAGAGGAATGTGAATCTGGCTGACATTTATCAATATGTAAGTAAACGAATGTTTGCTTAAATAATTCACTTAAAGGCCATGGATTTCAATTATGTGACATTCAGTTTTTTTTAAAAAAATGTAAAGTACCAGTGACCTTTATTGTTGGGGTGGGTGGGGGAATGAATTGTGATGATTTTCTCCACTGAAATACAACTTGTGCCAGTTCTGTAAAACTATTTCACGTCTAATGTACACTGCATCATGTACGTTGTAGCCGTTAGTCACTACACGTAATAAGAAAATCTTGCAAAGTGCTTTGAGGCATCTCAGTAGCCTGATAAGTGTAATATAAAATGCAAGGTTTATTATGGGAATGTCACATTAAATTATTTGAAAGCGTATGTGAGAATAACATCTCTGCTATTCCTTTGTTCAGCAGAATTGAGAAGGACTGTATAGTTAATTAACTACTAGAACATGCAAATGTATCTAGAAATACAGACATGTTATCAATTAACATTTGTGTTCCACATATGATAATGTGGTTAATAAAAGTGATATATCCAAACAATGTTGTATTTGCTTTCATAACTGCCTATCAACGTCATGCATCATGGTTCCTTTCAAAAATGTGCACACCTTGAACAACAACAACAAAATGACGTTTGTAAAGCGCCTTTCACATCAGGAGGACGCCACAAGGCCCTGAATACATGAACCATTCATGCATTCCAAATAAAATAATAAGAATCTGAGCTGCTTAATATTTTAAATGGTTACTGCTGCACTATTTTGCAAAGGAGCTGAGATTTTCCTGGAATTAAACATTCAGGCAAATTACGCAATCCCATTTCCATGACAACTCTTCGTCCTTCTTTAGATTGATCCATTAATACTATTTATGGACAGGCTGTATTTCTATTATTTAAATTCCATTAAATTTACCTTTTTCTAAAAATGTTTTTGAAAAAATAATAATACAAATAATTTTATAACCTGTTTTATAACCGTTTGAGATTTCTTACAACACTTTGTTGTAAGATTGTTGTGCTTAGCCAATGGGTTGGAATTTCACTTTAGGAGTAAATCCTGAGAAAAATCTTTCTTAAAATAAAAATGTACTAGTGTGTGGTTTAAAAAACCTCGCTCCCTCTTTGAGATGGTCTCATACTGAAGGAGTATTCCAGGTTATCAGTAAGCGATCCATTACCTTTAAAACATTTTTTGGGGGTGGGGGGCCAGTGAATAGATCAGTTTCTCTCATTAATTTCTCTATTTCTCTCCCTTCCTGGACATAATTGACTCCTATTCTCTTCTACCATTCTACAGTTCTATAGATTTCCTTCCAGTACTTCGCCCATTATTCATCTGAACCTTGACAATTCATATCAGCAAGCTATTCAACCATGGAGACATTAGAGCCAACCTTGATCCTGTCCTTGCATGATATCCAAGCACTGCTGGATAGTCAGTCATTCAGTTAGTTGTAGCATCCATTGTATTGTCTGCCTGAATATTGAATTTCCTGGTTTATATGGCTAAAGCTACTCACTGCATAAACTTACCGAGCCATTAGATGTTTTAGTATATCCTTATATTTTATCCAACACCTTGTCATGTCATTGAGATCTCTCAGAAGTGTTTCCTAGGAATTACGGTAAAATGTAGCAGCTATTCTGTAAGTTTTACAGCACCAATATTCACACAGCCATAAAGTGAGTGACCAATTTTCTCTGGGGATTGTTGGCCAGGACAGCAGAAGAACCCTCCTCTTTTCAAACAGTGTCATGTTAATGTTCGCCTGAATAGGCAGATGGGAACTCTGTTTAACATCTTATTGAAGGATAGCAATTCCATAATGCAATGCAACTCTTGCCCCAGCACTGTTTTGGAGTGTCAGTTTAGACTGAGCTCAGAGTGCCAATGTGGGGCTTGAACCTACAACCTTCTGACTGAGACAAAAGTGCTACTGACTGACCTAGGCTTACACCTTTTAAGGTATGTTTGATATCAAATGGGATGGTGCCTATGAAACTCACTTCACAATACACAATACAAAATTAAGGAAAAGATTGAGGTAATTTATTACACAAAGGAACTCTTGAAAGTTTAGTTCAGGAAATAGCATTTTTAATTTAGTTTGTATTTTATTGGTAAATAGTTTTTTTTCTACCGCTGTATTAGTCATTCCCTATTTTCTGCTGCCTGCCTTAACTGTTTTCAATATTTTATAACCATTTATCTTCCCGATTTGTGCACTTTATCTGTCTCTTTGATTTGGATTATCTTTTCTGTACTTGCACGATTGTCAAGATTGCACGATTGTGCAGGATCTACTGCTCAACCCAGTGCTGAGGTAAAGAAAGGTAATAAAAATTATGTTGACATGAGACCTGAAAATATGGTATCACATAACCTCTAACTGCAACTCTAACTTGTAACAGCAATCCCATTGCATCTCAGCATATTACCAGGAAATGTTGGTACACTACACATTAAATGAAATATAGAGAATTGTCCCTATGTCAGTTTAAGATAGTAATTAATTATTGGACTTTAGATGACCAGGAGATAATGGAAATTTATCTTTTTCTTCTCACCATGGTGTTGTATTTCCGCTTCCATTAGAAAATAGATGTCAGTCTGGCTCATCTCTGAATCAAAAGGCTGTGGGTTCAAGCCACCTGTTAGCATTTTCACCTTCACACAGTCTAGGCTAACATTCCAGTGTAATTCTGGCGATGCGCTATTTTGATGAAGGTGCTATTCTTCAGATTAAACCTTCAGATGAGACAGCTACCTGTTCACCTGTGGATGTTAAAAGATCCTGTGGCTCTATCTGAAAAGAGAAGAGTTTCTCCTGTTGCTCTGCCCAACAATTTCCCAGATAAAACTGGTCATTCATTTCATGGCTATTTGTAGGATATTGCGTGTGCAAGTCAGCTGCCTCATCATTGCCCTTCAAAATACACAGTCATTAAACTTTACAGTAAATTCTGTGATGCATCTTGAGACATCCAACGTGAAAAGGTGCTACCGTTCAGAAGTCTACAGCTTGTGTCCTCTCCACCAGGCTGCGCAAGCCTATTGCCCTCATCCTCGCTTGCTGCAATGGCTCCCCATACCCCAGAGGATCCTCGTTCTCACTTTTAAATCCCTCCAAGGTCTTGCCCCACCCTATCTGTGATCTTCTGAAACCGTACCAACCTGGCAGCTCCCTCCACTTGGCAGGCACTGGCCTGCTCAATGTATTCCGCTCTGCCTGCCCCACCACTGCAGTCGAGCCTTTCTGCCCTCGCTCTCTGGAACTCCATCCCGGAGTCCCTTCAGCTTGCCCCTTTCCTCACCTCCAAGGTCTAGGTGAAGACCTTCCTCCTTGACCACCTTCTGTCATCTGCCCACCTCCATCCCCATTGGCTGCACCCCTCCCGAATCTGACCCCCAGCTCGGGTGCTAACCCTCAACTGGGAAATCTTCCTAACGTAAAAGGCGCTGTATAAATGCAATCGCTTGTATCAGATGCAACGATTAGTTGTTT